GAGGAGGAAAGTTCAGCAATTACCAACCCCCCCCCCCCACCCACCTCACCTGCTACCCCCAATAAAAAAGTTCCTAGGCAAGAAAAAGGATGTAGAAGGCCACGTTGTGAGTTAACTGAAATTTGAGTTCAAAGTCAAGACATTTCGCAAACATCTCACGAACATCATGAACAGTCGCAAACATCTCGCGCTCAGAGACAATGTTCTCTTGTCACTTTAGAACGTGACCGCGTTAATCAGGAGCTTCTAATTTGACAAAATAATATTGACCTTTGAAAAAGCTTTCTTCTTCTTAAAGGGTGCAACTGCACTGCAACTGGAACATATTCGTAACAAATTGAAATATGCAGTGTTTAGATAACCTGTGTCTAGACTACGAGTAGTCTCTCTTTGGCTAAGTCCGTCGAGCGTGACCGTAAATAAACCTCGACATGGTATGGCCGCGCAAAATTTCTGGCTTCTCACCTCCAGGATTTGTTGCGGCCATTTTTTCTCGAAGTTTCCTCTCCCGTCTCGGTCGACGGCCTAAGCGAAAGAGGGACTACTCGTAGTCTAACCAGTGTCCGTAAAACTTTGCATGAGAGCGTTTCAATCGGATCACAGAACTAACTCGTCGCCGCAAACAAACTATCCTTAAAGAGCGGTTTTTTAGCTTCAGGCCTTTGCCAATTGCCGTAAACGTAGAGTTTCCTGCAGACATAGGAATGGATCATTAGATTTTTCATGGAGAGAGGAGAGGGCAGCAATTACCTTCCCCCCCTCCCCAGAAAAATAACGCAGGAGGTCACGTGGTAAGTGTTTAGGACACGTTTGAAATCTGGACTCCCTGGTTCAACTCCTCCAACCCAATTCGTCTGCAGAGGTTTTTCAGGTCAAAGTAAGGAAATGGTAAAAATTGATGAACTTTTCTGCCCTTTTCTGCACTCAGGCTTATATTTTACACTGAATGGTCCTATCGTGAGACTAGGCTCCGCTTTTTCAGTTATGTCACTTCTAGAAGAAAACTTTCCGATTTACTTGCATTGCAGATACCCATCAATGAGCTGGACTTGAATACTTCGGATCCGAAGGATATCTGGGAAGGAAAGGTAAAACAGAAAGCATCGATTGTACCCTGCATAAACTTAAAGATATAAAATTTAAGACATATATTTCTCTGCAGTTCAAACTTATATGATCTGTTATTTATTCACTTGAATATAGAGTATATGAAGTTTAAAAAACAACAATAACTGGATACTGCTGACCAGAGACACGCTTAAGTGTCGACCTTATGCGGTTGTCATGTATTAAGCGATTCTCGGTCACAAGTTTTGTCAATATAAAGAGTAAAGCATACAATTTACAAGTTACAGAACGGTTCTTAATACCTTGACTGAAATTTGAGGTCAAAGTGAAGACATTTTACGCTTATTGAACAGTCGCAAACATTTCTTGTCACTTTCGCATGGGACAACGTTAATCAGTAGCTTCTACTTTTGACAAAATCATACTGACATATAGAAAAGCTTATACTTCTTTTGGCAAAGTTTAAAAAATCTGTTCATAGGTATTGGAGCCATCTGAAATGTTCAAAACTTTAAGACGGCTCTGAACCCCATCAACAGAATTTTTTAAAACCTTGCCAAAAGTTTCATTTTATCCTGCTCATCAAAATTTGATGATATAAACAATTTCACCTTGCCGTTTTAGAATTTTAAGTGTTTAAAGCTCTAAATAAGGGTGTTCTTAGCAGGTTACACTGTTGCTATGGTAACCTTTTGTGTCAAGAAAATGATAACGTGTTCACCTATGATTGGACAGTTTTTTTGATACCATAATTGTAGCATCAAGTGACAAAGCGTGGTTATAATTACCTATCAAAATCTAAGTCTTGGAAAGTGCTGCAAACTGTTTTAAGCCACAACGTCAACATGAGCACAGATAGTAAAACTGACAGTGAATTTTCTCGCGTTTCTTTCGGTGAAATCCCCTAAAATTTGGCAAACATCTGGTAATAAATATTTTACTTTAGTCGGAGCTCGTTTTTTCAGGGAAACATAGTAGGCATCAGTATTTTCTTTCACCAAAAGACCGTTGGTTTGGACTATTTTGAAGCACTTTCTGTCTTTTTATATGCGTTGACGTTTCGCTACAAAAGTCGGAAGAACTCCCCCATCAAGTTGTGGCACCATGATACTAAAAAACCTTTTTGAGGCTGTGGCAATCACTTTTCCCGTAAAGAAATGTGTGTTTTTGACGGAATGCGTAATACAGTGGTGAAGTTCACTGACTGTGTAGTTNGTATTCACCTCGCTATCGCTCGGTCAATACGGCAAGGCCTCAGTTTGAGATTTTCCCGTAACGACCTCACTCTCGGTTATTAAGTAGTCAGTATTATTTTGCCCCCTCCACCTCTTACCTCCTTTGTGCCCCTCTAAACAGAAGTAAGTAACTTACCTTATTCTACATTGTGCTTGAGGTTGGATTTGTCCTTTTCATGGAAAGGTTTGAGGGAAATAATGTAGCAGTTTTCTTAGACCCATGTGTGAATTTGCTTTTCAAATCTCTCTATTTCTAATATGCAAATTATAGCAAAGTTACATACAGTTCAAGAAGTTGGGAATGTCAAAAACAGAAAGGGAGTGAATGAAAAGTATAATTTGTCTATCTATCCAATAAATAATTCTGGTTTCTTTGTGTGCATGAATGTATTTTTTTCAGGTGTACAAGCAAAGTTAATTTGCAAAATAATATCTTCAGAAAGCTTGCAGGGAAATGTATATAGGCTTGTGATCACCATAGTATGACTCCAGTGTACCGGCAGATTGCACACGTTCGGGTATATTTGTATAAATGTGATCTATTTGTGTACGCTAGTCAGTAGTATACTGATTAATTAATCAACTGTGTGTACCCTCTGTTTGTAATTAGAAATGCTTTGAGAGCTTTTTGTTCCGTAGTTTCCTGCATCAGGTTAATATCGAAATCTCCAAGCAATATAGTAGAAATTGTAGGTTCTGTCAATACTGACTTATGGAGATAAGTAAGAGCTTCATTCAGTTTTGAAAATCTAACAGTTTTTGATCGGTAGATACCCACCACATGAATATTTGGCACTGGATGGCTGAGAACTGTTACAGTAATTTACATTATTTACATTAAATCTGCATGGAATTTCAGAACGATTTAAATCATTCTTAATGTACACAGCAGTTCCATAGCAAGTTCTGATGTTAGACTGACTAAAGTCATATCTGTACAGAGTAGGAGGAGGAAAGCTTATCTTTTGTCCCAGATGATAAAGCGTTCATTTCAACATACTGCTTTCTTCCTGTGACCGGTCGATTCTTCGTCGCCCAAAGATGTCCATAGCCGCGCTCTTTACCGAAACCTAAACCTCCATCCAACTACCACTTCTTCGAGAGGTCCCATAGTCCGTGATTTGCATTCAAAACACCGCACATTTCGAAGTTTTCGTAGTCGTGGATGAAACAAGAAAAAATCAACAAAGTTTAACGCTAACCAATTTGCAGTACTTCATGTTCGCGGACTTAACGGGGCTTCACGCACGAATCGTTCGTGTTATCGTCACTTTTAGGACTTTGACGCCCATTTCTCTACAGTCGAGTATTCTGTAGCATATTTCCTTTCCATTTTTGGCTCCACAAAGGTATGTTCCG